TTATGTAGATAAATACAAGACTTCACTTGAAATGTGTCGCCACGACGGCAATAAACCATCGATTTTCCAGCAAGAAACCAACCAAACAACTGTCGACAGTCAAGTTAAGTTCCTTCCACAGTTTATTAAGTAACTGTCACTCAAAGGTAAGAAAATGGGCATACATACACACAAAGCTTTTCAAACAAAATAAATGAAGAAATTCCGGCAAATGCGCCACAAACACAGAAATGCATTTGGAGAGGTGGGACGAGGGGGGAAAGGTGCATGTGGCAAACAAAAGTTGAAAGAAGTGCTTTAAAATTATGAATAAATGCCAAATAAAATCGCAGATACATTGTGAGCTCTGGACCTTTTCGTAGAAAGTGGAAGAGAGAACGCTTATCAAAGTCGAAGAGGAGAGAGTCAATAGGTGTGTCACAAATAAGAATTTCGTTTTTGCTCTTAAGATTTATAAGCAAAGAAAGCCAATTTATAGTTGAAAGTAGTCAACTATTGTTTCAGCGAAGTGACTGTTGTCCTGGACACCCAGGAAACACACTTATATTATATTGCATATAAAAGCATGCATTTATATAAAATATATATATATATATAGATATATAAGCACATATAAGTATTACATACAAAGCATTCTCGAAGTCTACCTTAAGTGCGACAAAAACTCAAAGGCTCACACCGTTGTCATCGTCATCATCGTCAGTGGCAACTTGAGGTTTGGCTTATTATGTCCAAGGTAGCGGCTGCTAGTCAACCAGCCATCGAACCGAACGATCGCCCAACCAACAAACCAACAATACTCGACTCAGTCATACAATCAAACCAACCAAGCAACCCAATTAAATAAACGACTTGAAATCCTTTATAATAATGAACATTTTTGCTTGGTTAGCCAACGTAGGTAACTAAAATTTACAACAGCAACAACACGCATAACGGCACTAGCAACACAACGTTCATATTCTCATACAGGACATGAATGAAGACTACGAAGTATACGCCAGCAATTTACCTTTTGCTAACGATTTCAAGCTGATTTGCTTTTACTTACACTGGCATACAGTGTGTGCGAGGAGATATGGTACTACAAGTATTTTTTGGATTGAAGTGAAAGGTTTCTAAATGTGTGAAGAACTATTTGAAATCATCGAATCATATCATATAATGTCTTCATATACGAAGTGTAGTTTTATATCCCGAGATCTACATATTTTCGATGCTGAAGTGTTTAGAGTCTTTCAGATATTTTCAGATAACACAAGCTCATTTCAATTATTTGAAACACACACGGACAAATAGAGATTTGAGAAGAATTATTTCTAGTGAGAAGATGCAATGGCTTGAGAAAAAAATTTGTAAAAATATTGTCAAAGACCGTTAGTGCCTTTAAAAGGTCTAGACTAGTTCTTCTGAATTCGCTGGAACCGAATGTTTTCGATTTGCAAATATATTGATATTATAGCGATATAAACCTATATACTTCATAGCTAAGTTTAAGGTATCTTAGTACTAATGAAACCGAATTTAGAACTACTAAGCGTCTTCTGAACTACCAGATCGCATCATATTATGCCAGAACTACTAATAAAGTATCTTGCTAAGCTAAATACTTTCAACCAAAACAAATAAGTGCATGATTTGTGTACTTTAGAAGAAACTACTAACCACTGAGGTCAGGCTTAAATACGGGTAAAGGTCTGTCATTAAAAACTAAAAACAGTAGATTCAAAGAAATTATACTAGAATCTAAAATTAAACCAAAATATATCAAATAAATGGTGACAAGTTAAATTTGAGAATAATTAAAGAAGTAACAACAAAATGAAGGGAAATTATTTTCAGATTAAACTAAGAAGTTTTGTCAATGAAAACTAAAAGTGCACTTAGTAGATCCTTTGGAAAAATTAATAGATCTGGATTGACCTTGGATATGCTTGAACTTTAAGAAAACTGAGAAATAAAATAAAATATTATACATACACTGCTGCCTTCTTCCACATTCATAGCGACATACACTTCTTGAACCGACTGTGTCTAGTCCGTTTGCTGTCGACATTTTATGGCAGATATTAGACAATACGGTTGCTGAGCGCTAGCACATACTGAGTGTCAAAGGTGAAATGATTATATGACAGCAGACAGTGAACCCAAGCATCGAGAAATCATAAACCAGACAAAAACCTACCGAGCAACCTCCCCCCCAACGAAAGGAAATAGATTGAGAGCAAAGTGTTGATTTCGTTAGAAATCTTTCGCTACTTTTGAGGGTATTTTCTTCATAACGGTATACAACTGAAAGCACGTTTACAAACTGCTACCACACATACTTGGTTGCCATATGTCAACAAATTTAAAATTAAATATCTGTCGCTCGACACTCATCTTCGCCGCTGCGCCTCAGCGCCGCTCCGTCACCCGCTGCCTATGTGTTTAGTATGTTAATTTCATTTCTAATGTCCTGCCCTCACCACCCGCTTACACAATGAAAGCTCAGCAAATGGCATGTCCGAGCTTACATATAGTTAGAAGAAGAAAACGAGAGGTAGAGAAAGCTGTGTGTGCACATGTATATGGTCTCAGCTGGTCGTCAGTTCCAGCTCATAAGTCAAGTTAATTTCATGTCATTTGTTCTCGAAATTTTCAACGCTAGATAAAATTCTTCTTATCTTTGGTGCGAGCACCCAAAAAGGTTACATGACATTAACTAAAGGATATGTGAATATAATCGTATATATAAATATATCTACGTAGCGCTGGATTTTATGGATACTCTTGTCTGTCCGCTTATTTAGGTTGACTCGTCAGTTGCGTATGTCTTGTTTTGGCAATCCTTTCTTTTGGTAATGCACATTTGCATTAATTTTAATTGGTTGTTCACAAATTTGAATTTACTTGGAATTCAAAAGGAAATGGAAACTAAAGAAGAATTGTCATCATTAAAACAAAAATAAGATACATGTTAGGGTGGAGCGAAAAAAAAATAATTTTTTTTCTTAGCCTGAGGCTAAAATTTGTAGATTGTAAGAACCATTTAACATTTAGAGGCGGCCCACTCACTTTTAAAGTAAATTTCGAGCTAAAAATTAGTTTGAGCAAAAAAAAACACTTTTTTCGCTCCACCATGCTCATATAAATATATATATTTATATAGGTATACTACTCTACTTGCGTGTGTTATTGTTGTTTGTAGCCGTTAATAGAGAATAATTTTTTTAAATATACAAATATTTAAATGGAAAATACTTTTTTCTTTTTGGACTATTTTAATAATAGTTTTGAAATTAAAGTAATTTTTAAAAGGACGAAAATAAATATAAAACACTTTCGAATTGACTATAATATTATATCACAATGTCTGAAAATGAAGAGAACCTTCCAAGAATACAAACTTGTTTACAATATTGCTATTGTACCAACGTAATAGAAGCAATTAAAATAAAATATTGCCTATAACTAGGCGCATTTCTGTCGATCTAAGCGAAGTCACATACCTTTTACCACAAGTTCATTTAAATGGGTCTAAAATATGAGAAAACCCATAAGAAAAGAAGAATTTCCTTTTATTTCTTACTGTGAAGCATTGGAATCTGGAATCTATACTCTTATATTATGTTTTGTAAGAATAAGCAATAATAAACTAAATAAAATTCAGCACTATTAATATTTTAAACGCCTAAAAAAAATGGTTTATTTAAGTGTAACATTTCGAACAGACTTTGACAAAGAACCAGATGTGGTAATGCATTGATAGATGAAATAACAGATATTTTTGTATCACTTTATTTTTTTTTCGTCAATAGATTCTTCAGCTGTGGCCAAGAGTTCTTCCGCCGTAGGCTATATATAGGGATTCAATCAATAATATTTTCGACATTTTTGGTATTAGGAGTTGTGAAGAATATACGATACTAACTGAAAACAATGGAGAGTTCTAAAAATTAGAGCAACTATTGTCTCCAATTGGTTCTAGAATAAGAGTAATCAAGTGAAATGGGTAGATGATGAATAACGCATAATCTTACTAAACTCTAAAACGAGGTCACCGTGGTAATCGGTTCATGATGCCGTAATAACTTGGTAATTAAAAGAAAGAAGTGTATAATAAAGATTACAAGCAGAAATATCTGTGGATGCTCAATGAGCAGCTTAATCTCTCAAAAGTTTACGCTAAGTGAGATCTATGTATTCATGGATTCATAATTGTAATTGTGTAAGAATGAAAGTACGCATACCGTGGTGTAAGAAGGGCGCAGACAATGAAAAACAACATTAGAAAATCATCTATTAGAAAGTGTTATTCTTCACGAAACGTGATCTTCAAGGACCGCAGCATGATAACTCCGAAAATATTCATTTTCTATTGTATAGGTTAAATCTAGTCGCTTCCTCGCTGTTCAATTGCTGTTGCAAAGTTCAAGTAAAATTTCGTGGAAAAATAATTTCTGATAACCAAAAACTCAAGGGCAAATAGATCTATACAAATTAGGAGGTATACTAGAGCTACTGTAAGATATGGCTTATTTAGTGCTTTCATACTATTGTGATAAACTAAGAGCAGTTCCGATTTTATGTTTACTTTTCTTCTATCACTTGGTTTTTTATCTTCTCTTTCTCTTCTATAGTGTCGCTCTCACTTCTGTTCTTCTCATTCTGTATTTCATGTATTTCTTATAAATCTCTCCCTCTCTATAGCTTACTTTTTGAGGCATTACCTTTTGCTATAAAAATAGGTTTATCTCCGAATCGTCACTTTTCTCTTCACGTAATTAGAACTTCAGAAATCATTCGTCTTAGTTTCTTAAAAGATAACATGATAATATGATATTAAAGTGATGTAAGCGCTTGCTACCACCAGTCTCACAGATTAGATTATGCCACTATATTGTGTTTATGCCAGTTGTTAGTTCGATTCGTCCCTCTCACAGCTTTGAAGACATCTACTGTGTCAAAAATATGTAATATTTCTTCTCTACCTTCTGAAAATCAAACAAATATGTGCATCTTTAGAATGGGGCTTGCTTGAAGTTTATATATTTATTGGATCTTTTGAGTTTTATTTTTTTATAAATATCAACAGAATATCTTAAACTATTGCTTATAGCAAACTGGGATTATCCAGCAGCTTACTACACTATGACATACTTATGAAATCGATATAATTTAAAATTTTTACATATATACTCATATCGTATAACTGTACATATACCACATGTATGTACTACTTGAAATGTGTATGTATGCATACTAAACTACAGTTACAAAACATAATAAACTTTACATATACACATGACTCAAATATGCTTAAACTTAGGACTTAACTCAACAGTTAGAGTGAAATTTTGATTATGTTCTTAATAATAACTGTAATATAATTTGTTTATATTGATTTTACATTACTTTCTTTAATAAATTCGATATGTGATTTTCTTCGTTTTATAAAACGTTAAACTATTCCCCCATTTTCATACTCTGAGAGAGTACATGCCTAGACCTTTTCAATTACATATTTATTTTAAATGAAATTAGTTTAAAATCTCGCCCCCTCGTCAACATTCGTCCGTCTGACATATGAAAACTAACTGTACTTCCTTGAATTCACTTTTTTTCCAGCACGGCTCCATTTCCCTCCCTAATAAACTCAATATCACTGCTTCGTGTCGAGCAAGAGTTCTTCGCGAGTCTCATCTTTTTGCTCTACGAGCACATTTAAGCCCAACGCCGTCACCATGGCGTTACGCAGCCGCTAGTATGGACGCCACACATCCGTCGCTCTAGGTGTACGGCAACGTATAGGACCGAACTCGCTACGCCACAGTTCAGTACGTGATGTGGTGCTCACATCGTCCAGATCGATGGTCTCGACCAGCGGTGGTGAGTGTCGCGTTGAGGTTACGGGCGGTGAAGCATTCGGATTCGCATTCTCCACACCGGGTGAATGAGAGACTAGCGTTACACAACGCTTTACCAAATCAACACCATCGCTAGCTACGTCCGTGGCTGTAAGATTCGTTACACTCGGCACTTCGGCTGCCAGCGCACCGGGTACAGATTGCGTAAGGCCATCGCCAACAGCATTACCGGTGCCTCGGAACCAAGGAAACTCACTGTAGTTGCCATATAATTGCGTATATAGCCATTGACTTGGTTGCGGCAAAAGCGGACTCTGTAGGAAAAGCTGTGCCGCCAAAGCGGGATTGAAACTATTTGCGGTGGGGGAGAATTGTGAAGCGAAACCATTGAGAAGTTCATTCTTACGCAGCGTTTCGTTTCGTTGTATGAGCGAAGTGAAGGCACCACCACCACTGGCCGAACCGCTATTCGAAGGCGGTGAAGTGCTACGTCCATCGTCGTCTTCGTGCAAAGAGGAGGTCTTTTTGGACGAACCCGTCACCGAAATGCTATCGCTTTCGAAACCCGTATCTATATTGTTATTGTTATCGTTATCACTGTTTGTGGTGGTTAAAGGCGGCGATATGGTTAATGTCGGTTGTGTGCCCAAATTAATTGTTGTGGTTGTCGGCGAACCCTCGGGGCTTGTAGTGCTATGTGCTGTACCAACAGTTGATAATTGACGCAGTTGTGTTAGATGAGGATGGGTTTCTGTGGAGACGGAGAAAAAATCTTAAAGACAAATTCAAAATATTGTTTCAGTTACCGTACCGTTTAGCGCCCTCAATCCATGCCGTTCCAAATTGCCAGCGATGTTGTGCGCCTGGAAAGCGGGATGCTGATGATGAAAGAAAGCTGCACCGTGTGCGAAGCCCGGCCGCGCTAAAGCTGCTGGGTTACTCAACGCCCGCCAATCGGGTGCATGTAAGTGACTATGCATGCCGACGAGGTGATGTGCGAAACCTGAAAAATGTAGAATATGAAATAAATGTTGAGCAAAAGTAATTGTGCTTTATTTAAAAAAAAAATGTTGAGGTTGAGAATGTAGAATATCTGAAAGATCTGCTCTGGAGATATAAAACAAAAATATTGTTTAGTAAATGATGCCGAGTTAACAGTCTTTAGCAGGATAGAAATACCAATCCATGCCAGTTTCGTTGTCCCGACAAGTCTGGTAACGGATGAAAGGTGACCTTTTTTATCAGAATTTTTTTTTAACCTCAAAAGGTTCTTGGATAGACCATTTGTCGAAAAGAAAATAACCGCTATGGCTCGTCACTGCTCGAAAAAATCTTATTCCATGAAGGAAATGCTTCTTCTCGTTATTGAGTTGGGTCCACAGAGGTGAAGCAATAATAAAGTCGGCATTCCATTATTGGAGTCAAGTGAACTTAAATAGATGGTAGATTTGACCACAGAAACCCCAAACTTTTTAGTCAAATATTTCCAGAATCGTAATGCCAAAGATCGCTATTATGGTTTCTAGCTAATTCTACGGGATCGCAACATAATATGGAGATAATCGGAGTTCACTTGTTACTTGTTATCCCACTACACATTCGGTTTTAGTTATCAGATATGTATAACCTTAACTCTAAATATAAGATTTTCAGATATTACTCGTATATATAGCTTAAAAGATTGGCTGCTCTAGAGTCAGGCCTCAGCATACAGACATCAGATTGATTATTTCAGTTTATGGTTTAAGAATTGATAAAAGCAATTTGGTTGTGGCAAATGAAATGGATGAGCAAAGCTTCTACTTCTAGAAATCACGTCCTTTGTCCTGGCGAGTTTGCATCGCATCAATCCGGAAGAGTATCGTCTGGGTCTAGGCATCTAATGCCCACAAGATCATTTCTGAAGATATTTTTTTAGTTTTATCGACTGGGATGAACTTGAACCAAGTACGCTATTCCTGAAAGGACTTGATCTGGTCAAAATGGATTGGAACATACTTGATAGTCTCTGCATAATGTTATCTTCTCTGATTGGGGCCTTTTTTAGAAGCAAGACTTTATAAAATGGGTCTGATTGGCGACTATAATAGAGACAAGGCTTTATAAAACCGACAGCTTCACTTAAGTCCTCAGTATTCAGAAAGCGGATATGTGACGATAAATGACTGCATTGGGGATAGCCCTTCAAAAATGTGGCTTATGCTGTCTTATGCTTAACCCTAAATGCTCAACTAACCTCCAATTTGGTTGTCAAAACCAGTCAAGAGTTAAAAGTTAAAAGTTTTCGAATCATAATCTATATCTTCTAATAACATATGAAAAGATCCACTCAACCTCCAATGAACTACTATATCGACAATCCTTTCACGAGTCATTTCTATGCACTCACTTCGGCGGTTAAGGCAGTGCTGGCAAAGAGTCTGCCGCCGATACCACAGAAATACGAGTACAGCACTTGAGTTTAATGCCTGAGTATGATTTCGTACTAACCACTTTCCATCTCGTGTGTACGCATGAGTGCGCGTGTGTGTGTGTGTGTAGATATTAGCCAAGTTTGCAATGGCAGTGGCTTTGCTTGCACTCCCACTAAAACCTTAAATATGCGGTCCTGTAAGGAAACCCATGTGCGATAAAGGGTTAGCCACGTTGGTCGCAGGTTGTGTTGTGTTCTTCGGCTCCGCCAGAGGGTTGGAGCATGAGCGCAGCTCAGCCGCTGCAGGCGGGCAAGAGAGAGAGATAGAAAAATTTCAGGGGGCGGGGGGACATTATAAAACAACTGACACGACAATTCGGTCGCATATGAGCTCGCCATACTTCGGCTGCCTTTTAAGCCTTCTTCGTGGTTAGGTTGTGTATACAAATACGTTTGGGTGCGGGTGGGGTACCAATGTGGTAGTGGCGGTGGCGTTGGTGGCGGCGAGAGATGCTACCACAAACACATACGTTAATTTATGTATGTATGTATGTATGTGTTCGATTGTGAAAATGTGGGTCGTCGGATGTCTCGTTGTCGCTGTCGTGTCGCATATTTTGTTGGTAGCTCAATTGTTTACGTCGGCTGTGCGTCGAAACGCAGTCATCGGCTGCACCGTTATACGTTTGTATGCATGTGTGCGCTTAGTATGGTATTGTATTCTGTGTGTTGGCTTTGTTGCTTGTTGGCGGTGGAGCCGACGGGGCATAACGTGGTCCCATTGGTGCGCCGCAAAGAGCTTTCTTGCTTTTGCTTTCGCATGCCACACACACACACACATATATATATATATATATTCGCATAGACATCAGTATGTCACAGGCTTCGACAATTGCTGGCATTGCCTGCGCCACCAGCACAATTGACATGGCATGCTGTTGCTATTGCTGTAGGAGCAGCCAAATCTGCCACTGGCAGCCATCTCATCGACGCAAGTCTGAGTTGCCGCTGTCTTATTGCCTACTCTATGCGCTCCGTGTAGCACGGTCTGCCATTGCTGGCATTTTTCTAGCTGCGCTGCGGCGCTGCGGTCGGACAATCGTTCGGTCGGCAGCCGCCGCCGCCGCCAGTTGACTGTGTGGCTGTGGTGGCATTTTGTGGCAGCAGTAGTGGTGGTAATTGTATACATTAGTGTCCCATACAGCGATGCTGCCGCCGCCACTGCCGCCGCAGCAGCCCCTACCGGCAAGCAACCATGCGCCTAAGTGTATGTGTGCTTGTGTGTGTGACTGCTCGATGTATGCCACAGAATTCCAACACAAATTGCTAGCTGCTCCCCCCACAAGCTGGTGTGGCTCCAGCCAAACCAGCAACCAACCGACCAACCGAAAGTTCCATGCCTGTTTTCGGTTGGTTCACATTTTCTCTGACGTTTTTCGGCGTTTTTTGCCTTCTGTGCTTTCGTTTTTTGTATTTATTTATGAAAATTTATTTTATTACCCCTTTTGCGGGGATCGATGTGTGGGTTAGATACACCCACAAATGGAATATTTTACGGTGCAATAAAAGTAGAAGAAATACACGGATTTATGGTGAAGTTTCTTGAATGTGAGTGTGCGTGTTTGTATGTGTGCAGGCGAGGATTTCGGAAATGTGTGCAGAAACTTCTTTCAAATGAAATTAGTTTTTAATGCATAAAATAAAATTTAAATTACTTAGAAAAATATGGAAAGTGTACTTTGCTTCCTGGTTGAAAGTGAATAAAAGTGCCATAAAATTTGCTTAGAAATATATTAATATAATTTTTTTAATACTTTTAGCTTTGCACACTTGCTTTAAAAGTTTACTGTTTAAGTAATTTTTCTTTTCAACTAGCTTTTAGTAACAGCTTTTTGGCTTTTAAATATTTTTATGAACAAAACTTCAATATGCTTTTATTGTAAATATCAAAAGCACGAGCAACTTCCAGGCCTTATGAAAATATAAAAATACAAATAGAATAAATGTACAAAATTAAAATAAAAATTTTATGAAATTTAATTTTGCGTACAGAAATAATTAATTATTTTAATTATTTTTTATATTAATAAAAAAATATAAATATTAAATACTTATTTTGAAGAAATTGAAATTTACGTTTTTAAATAAAAAATACATTTAAAAATGTTGACTTCGGTTGCACCACAACTAGAATACCCTTCACAAACAAAAAAAATTGATTTTGTTCGGTCGGTTTGTATGGCAGATATAGGTTATAGTAGTCCGATCTGAATAATTTCTTCGGATATTTTTACATTGCCTTGTATAATAATCTTTGCTAAATTTCGTTGTGATACTTTCTCAAATAAAAAAGTTTTCCATACAAAAACTATATCCTGATCATTCAGTTTGTATGTCATTTAGTTATGTATGTTATAGTTGTCCGCTCTAAACAATTTAAACGGAGATTATAGCATTGCTTTAAATAATTAGTTGTACCAAACTTCGTGAAGATACCTCGTTAAATGAATAAGTTTCCCATGCAAAGGCTTGATTCCGATCGTTGGGTTTGTATGGCAGCTATATGCTATAGTGTTTCGATATCGGCGGTTCCGACAAATGAGCTGCTTCTTAGTGAGAAAAAAAGTGTGCAAAATTTCAGATTGATATCTCAAAATCTGGGACTAGTTCGCGTATAAACAGACGGATGGACATAGCCAAATCGACTCAGCTCATCACGCTGATCATTTAAAGATGAGTGTAACAAACTTTGTGGTAAACTTAAATAAAAAAAATACATAAAATATATTTATATATATATATATTTGTATATATATACATATATAATATTTATATTTTTAAACTTATTTGAAGATTTCTTTTATATTTTTAATTTTCATACATTTTTCCATTTTACATTTTTTTATTTATTTAAAAATAATTTTTCAATATTAGTTAATTTAATATATATAATTTATATTAAAATAAAAATTTTTTTAATTTGTAATTTTAGTTCATATTTAAACAAAATTAAATTAATAGCGAAATAAAAATATATATGAAATAATATAAATAACAAGTAAGGAAGGGTTAAGTTCGGATATAACCGCACATCATACTCTTGCAACTTGCAAGGATCAAGGCCTTCAGGTGTTGACAAAACCCCATATCAAACTAGAGATAGTATCGCCGTGATTTCATTCATTTAAGCCAAGATGTTACACTGTTTTTAGTAAGACATTCTTTAGGAATTTCCTTAAAATTTCTTACATATCGACCGACAGATGCGGCATAAAGTGCAAGAGCAAAAAAAAATTATCACAAAAATGTTCTCCCCGAAATTCAATACTAGAACTCATAGAGTGACCGATATGTTCGATAAAAAATCAGACATACGCACTGGTGTCCACATATTTGGTGTCTGCGTCCTTGAAAAGTTATAGTCCGATTTCGACACTTTTTGGGCGTTAGTTAGTTAGAAATGATTGGGCAATCTACGATATCAAATTTGGTTGAAAGTGGTGAAGTAGTTTCTGAGATAAAGAATTTCCCCTAAAAGTGGGCAGTGCCATGCCCATTGTCCAATTTTTACACCTGCTCTTCCTAAAGCC